TGGAAGTGTCAGTCCCTCCCTCCAGAGAAACCAATCCGGTCTCCACCAGCACTGAGGTTTTAACCCAGAGCTGCAATGGCTTCAGCAGCCAGGACTCTGCCTTGTGCCTTTCCCTCACTCTCAGCTTGCACCTCACTGCCCCTTACCTTATCTCAAGCAGCTGCAAGTGGGGCCACATGGGAAAGCAGCAAAATGATGGAGGGGACTAAAAAGAGCTCATCTGTGGGACAACAGAGACAGCAGGTTGCAACCCAACTTTGGAATGGTGTGGCCAAGAACAGCATTTCTTAAGCCATCTTTGCTGTAGAAATGAATGCATAACATCCAATTCCACCTGTATCCAGCCCTCCCTTCAAAGAAAGAGTAATCAGAGCTGAGACAGGGAGAATTTGCCATCCCATCACAATGTGTCTACAAGTACAAGAGAGGCCCAAATGAACCAAGGAACAAGCCACCCTCTCCAGATGTCAAAGGCAACTAGTTTTTAGTATAAACTTGGGTGACAGTGAGAGCTGCTCTACTGTCAGCTTGAGCAAGGCTGGAAAAGATGGCACGTGAGGTTTTTTGGTATCATTCATATTCAAGTTTTCTCACAGTACAAGGCACAGAATTAACTGTTACAACAGCAGCTCACCAATAATCTATAAAGGCAGCTTCCTATATCGACTTCCTAAAGCCTTGGTCATTAGAACCAATTATAATATCAAAGGAATAAAGATCACCTGGTGCTCTTTTCCAAAAGATTTACTTACTGACTAAACCAATCATGATAGAGAGCAGCACTTGGGCCCAACATCCACTCCTGACTCAACCAAGGGAGTACATAAGTGGGAGATGCTGTCAGCAATTTACCTGTAGTCAGGACCGGCTGTAACAGTGCAGTAATATGCTGTACTGCATTAAAACAACATATAGATTCAGGAAAAATATAGTCCTGATCAATGGCAGCATGTGCATTATTTACAAATACATTAAAACTGAATGCTAGAAATAGGGAGCCAAGATTAAGACATTGACTACAGTTATGGAAGATGGCCATTAGGAGTGAAAGAAGGGAGAAAAAAATGGTAAGTTGATTTTGAGAGAAGGTCACTGGGAGACGTGGACATGGGCAGCTTTCTGCTACAGGAGGCAGTGTGGGGAAAGCAGCCAGTGCCAGGTGAAGAAGAACCCAGCAGGCAGCTAAAAGAACCTGTGTGACAGAGTCCTGGTGGGCTTCCAAAATGTGAGGCATTAGGGTTCAGTACAGGAAAGGGCCAAGAGGCACATCCCAACAGGCAGTTAGGAGGGATCCTTGTGGAATATTTCAGCTTCTGCAATCATACTGAGATGAGCCTCTCTGGTGAGTCCTTTTCCCAGGTTCTACTTGTTTATTGGAAATGACAACATTAGTCCCATTATAGGAACTAGAATTGGTTTAGTTATGCTCAGTCTCCAAGCAGAAAGCTAATTTATACTGTTCTTGTATGTCACAGCACAATTACACCGAAGTCCTGTTTTTCCATGTGTGCACCTAGAGCACAGTTACACACACCCAAGCTAACAGCAGTTTACCACAAGGTTGGTTACAACCATGGTATTGGAAATCAAAAGTAATGTATTTCCCAGATTGCTTTTCTGCAACAGGTCATCCCTAGAAATATGGGAATATTGTTATCACTAAGCTGTCAATAACAAGCAGATTGACGTTTGCATTTTCAAACACTGCATTCCTTTGTTTTCACTCTGCTCAGATTGTATTTTCCTCACTGATGCTCTGCTGAGGACACAGCCACACACACAATCCAGCTTTCCCTTTAGTACATCTTCAGTGCTGTTTCCAGATACCACTGTGGCAGAACAAAGCCAGAACCCAAATCCCATCACCTCCTGCCTGTGCCTTAACCAGTAAAAAACATTTTAAGAGCTAGGTACATTCTGACCTGCAGCAAAACCCAGTGTAAAGCAGGTATAACAACTAAAGGCTTAACTTCACGGGCAAAAACAAAAAGCAGAAAGAGCATAAATGCAGGAAGACTACAAAAAAAGAATAAAGAACTGCATTTTCTGCTGTGGAATGACTGCTGAGGATTCATGTAAAACCTGGGCCAAGCAGGCCTGAGAGCTGCCACCAGAGAAAGGCTGTGGCCATATGAAAAGCTCAGAATGAAACCTGGCAGAATCTCTGACATTAAGGGAAGCCACACCTCCCTTTGACAGCTGTAACTGGGCTGAGAATAACTCCAGCAGGGCTGCATCAGCGCTCTGAAAGGCAGCAGTTTCCTCCCAGTAGAACTGCTCTATGGAAACCAATATTTATTCCGTGTGCTTGTCCTCACAAACTATTTTGGGGAAATGAGTATCCCATTTGACAGATAAGGAATTGTAGGGAGAGATGCTTTAGTCAAGGTCACACAATGACTCAGTGGTGAGGATGCCCCTGCAGTTCAGTGGCTAACACACATCCATTGTCTTTTACTACAGGCAAAAGCCTTGAGGAATTTCTGTCCTTACCAAATCAGCCAGGTCATCTGCTTGGAGGAAAACATCAAGGAACAGGGAAGAACAACTCCCTTCTTGCAACAGATAATCAGGATATTCCAGCTCCAAACAAAGAATGGATTGCTCAGGGAAGAGAAAAGCAGGGAGGCTGCGGGTGTCGTCTGCGCACCCCAGTCTGGCTGCACCACCAGCATGGTGTTGCCCACAGCCATGCCCTGGCCATGTAGGATTGATTTTTGACTCATCCCTCATCCCACAGTCCAAGTGTCCCTGGGGGGAACAGGCACACTGACACCCTGTCTAGATACAGGAATACACTCAGCCCTCTCCTGAGCATCCCCTGCACACTCAGACCTGCCACCCAGGGGATGCCTTCTCACACTGCCCCCCCCCAGACCTACTGCAGCAACCCACCCCTCCCCACACAGCCCCTGCAGAAGCACTCCCAAATACACCCCCCATCTGCACATCTCAGTACACCTCCCTTCCATACAGACTGCATGAATCATATTCAGACACAGCACATGAACTCCCAATGCCCTCTCCACACACACAGCCAGCATACCCCCTTACACACACACAGCCAGCACATCCCCTTACACACACACAGCCAGCACACCCCCTTACACACACACAGCCAGCACATCCCCTTACATACACACAGCCAGCACACCCCCTTACACACACACAGCCAGCACATCCCCTTACACACACACAGCCAGCACACCCCCTTACACACACACAGCCAGCACATCCCCTTACACACACACAGCCAGCACACCCCCTTACACACACACAGCCAGCACATCCCCTTACACACACACAGCCAGCACACCCCCTTACACACACACAGCCAGCACATCCCCTTACACACACACAGCCAGCACACCCCCTTACACACACAGCCCAGCACACTCCCTTACACACACACAGCCCAGCACACCCCCTTACACACACAGCCAGCACACCCCCTTACACACACACAGCCAGCACCCCTACAAACACACAGCCAGCACACCCCCTTACACACACATCCAGCACACCCCCTTACACACACACAGCCCAGCACACCCCCTTACACACACACAGCCAGCACACCCCCTTACACACACAGAGCCAGCACACCCCCTTACACACACACAGCCCAGCACACCCCCTTACACACACACAGCCCAGCACACCCCCTTACACACACACAGCCAGCACATCCCCTTACACACACACAGCCAGCACACCCCTACAAACACACAGCCAGCACACCCCCTTACACACACAGCCAGCACACCCCCTTACACACACAGCCCAGCACACTCCCTTACACACACACAGCCCAGCACACCCCCTTACACACACAGCCATCACACCCCCTTACACACACACACAGCCAGCACACCCCCTTACACACACACAGCCAGCACACCCCCTTACACACACACAGCCAGCACACTCCCTTACACACACACAGCCAGCACACCCCCTTACACACACACAGCCAGCACACCCCTACAAACACACAGCCAGCACACCCCCTTACACACACAGCCAGCACACCCCCTTACACACACACAGCCAGCACACCCCTACAAACACACAGCCAGCACACCCCCTTACACACACACAGCCAGCACACCCCCTTACACACACACAGCCAGCACACCCCCTTACACACACACATCTAGTACACCTACACACACTCCCTGTGCACAAACCCAACCCAACACCCTCATGAACCCCCTCAAGGACTAAGGAATCCCAACACCTCCTCTGCAATTAACCCTTCTTACACCTTCCTCCACGTATGTATAAACCCCCAAATTTTACCAAGTGCAACCCATCCAAAACACCCTTCTGCATACACACACCTTTCATTAACTCCCCCTAAACACATTGCAGCACACCCCACACACACCCCCCAAACACTGTAAAATAATGCACACCCCACCTTCCACACATCCACCATACACACACTGCATGCACCCCAACACCCCACTACGCACACCCAAGTCCCTGCACAGCCCTGACCACACCCCAACACACACACACAGAGTGCACGAGCCCCTCAAAACACCCTAATGCATAAAGTGCATAAATCCTTCCCACCCGCATTACACACACGCTACACGAATCCCCCAGCACCCTTTGCTTTTCCATTCATACTCATCCACCCCAGTAAGAAACCCATATCGCTCCCCAACCTCTCCCTGGATCCATCTGGGACACACATTCCTCCCAGCCCAGAAAGACATACGGACACCCTCAGAAAGCCGCGAGCTATGGACACAGCCGTATCTAACCAGAAGTCAGACACACCCCTGTGTCTGCACCCAAGCTTAGGACACCCCAAAGATGTCAGCCCCTGCACTGTCACCCTCACCAGGGGGAAGGGGAACAGGCAGACTCAGCTCAGAGGGGCAGAAATCCCCGAGCACCCGAGGAAACGTGACCGTAGCAGCAGCCCCAAGTGGTGCAGCCCCCTTCCCACCCCGCCTCCTCACTGCACCAGCCCGCGATGCAATTACCTTCCTCCAGCTCATCCATGCTCCCGATCTTCCGCGAGCCATCGATGGTGTAAATGTAACGGACTCCCTGAGGCAGGTTAATGTTGTCGGACAGGGACCGGGTGAGGTCAGCCAGGAGAGCATCGAAACTTCGGAAGCGGTCGGAGGACACGGCGTATACAATCCCCTTGAAGTAGCGGTCCCCGTTGCGATAGAAACGCACCTTCTTGGCTTTCTTCTCGTTACTCAGTGCCTGTAAGGTCCTGGTTCTGTAGAAGCTACAGTGAGCACTGTGAGTGGGGCTGGGCAGCCCGTTCATACGTGAGCCTCGCATGTTTCTGGACGCCTTGTCTCGTTCGTCAAAGTGTCCAAAATCAAGTTCCATAGTTTGGTGAACCCTAAAGATCTGAAGCTGAGCAGGAAGAAGATGGGGAGAGGAGTGCGAAGGGACAGGTTAGAGCCAAGCAGAGCCACGATCCAGAGAGAAAAAACAACACTAAGGCAAAGAGCTGTGCCTGGAGCAGGACAGATGCATTCGGGAAGCTCCCCCTCCCCTGACTGAGGTATTGATTCTGGAGACTGAGCGTAGGAGGGGTCCTCACATTCTGAAAGGCATCCAGCTCCTGGGGGCAGGGAGCACGTTCCTAGAGAGCTGTGTGCTCCTGCACCTGGGAGTTTTCAAAGTGCAGTAAATGAGGACTTGGGGCCAGAGGGATACATGGCAATCACAGCTCAGCCCCCAAAAAACCTCAACCAAACATCAGTTGGCAATGAATTAAACCTCTGAGCCCTGTGAGGTTTCCTCTGGCAACAGAAAACAAGGAGATCCCAGTAAGTCAGCCCTTCAGTCTGTCGAATCACGGAAGGAACCAGAGCATCTGAATGTTTAACATTAGAATAAACTGGCATTTATGAAAGAATGGTCACAGGGGAATAAGCAGTTTCTTTGTGACAGCCTGTTCAATAAGGGTAAGCAATGAGATCCAGCCCACCCTTCCCCCTATCCGCAGCCCCCTCCTAGCCCATCAATCAATTCCCAGGACCAGCCTACATCTGTAAGAAATGACTGGAAAGAAAAATCTGTCATTGAAATGAAGCTTTGGTAAGCTCCTTTCAGCCTGAGACTCCTCTGAATTGCATTTCTGCTCCTGTTTAATGAGGAGGAGAAAATAAAGGGGCTGTTTCCACCCCCCTTCCAGCCTTAAGTGCTTTAATTGCTGGAAGTGCCACTGCTCAGAGGATACACCGCCCCTGCTCCTCACCTTTCATTGTTCTGAGCACGGGGGGCTCCCAGCCCCAGCACAGAAAAGCTGAGACTTGAGCTGACACCCACCAAGCAGGAATGCCTGTGCAGTCTCCAGTTTATGCTCATGAGCAACATTCCTCCTGCACCAAACCCCAACACAAAAGGAGGAGGAACCCCCAACCCTGCAACAGAAAGACTCTTCCACTCCCCCAGCACAGCCAGGAATATGCAGCTCATGTATGTTGCTTGCATGTTAATAAAGGGCAGAAAGAGGATTTAAAACAGCACTTGGCAGCCAGGTATAAATCTAGGAAGAGCTGTTGCTCTTTCTCCACCCCTTACATTTGGCAGAACGAAGCTGCTTCCCTGTATTTTTACAATGTCAGTGTGACCTGTGCAAGAAAAATCCTTGTCCCCAGTCTGCAGTAAAGCACAAGATGACAATGAGGGGATCCACACAGAAATCACAAGTTGGGAACATTTCCCCCACGACTGCAGTCGGGGCAGATTCAGCCCGGTGTCATGCACTGAACAATGAAACAACCAAGCAACTTCGGGAATGAATCAGAGGATGCAGGGGTTCGGTTTTAAAATGAACTGCAGATGCTGTAAGGTACTACGAGGCAGATTCCCCTGTTCTAGCTGACATCTGTTACTTTCCTGCATGCAAGTCACCTAAAAAAGCTCTACTCACCGGTTTTCAGCGCACAGGGTGGAGATGCTGAGAGAAAGAACACCAGGCTCACTCTGCCTTTGTTGTCTGAGCTCCAAGCAAGAAATTCCTGCCAGGGTGGATGAGACGCCTCCTAGGTCCTAGTGCCTTGTTCCATCCCTCCGCGGTAACTTTGCCTCAGCGGTTTTTCCTCTCAGCACCAGTTTTTTGGTTGTTGTATTCTCTGTATTTGAGGAAAAAAAGGGTGTGTTCATGCTGGCTCTGGGTGCGTTAGCAGCTGTGAACATAACAGGGTAAACAGTTTAAAGGGGCAGGATTTGGGGTGCAGTTCTAAAGGATGCACATTTCCCCCTGGCTCTAGTTTCACAAAGAATGGATCTGGCCCCACTAAATAAAGCGCTAATTGGACTGAGGCACCAGCATTATAGGATTACCAGTACTGGGAAGTCATGGCTACAACCCTGCAGCGTGCTGCAATGCTGGCACTAGAGTCCTGTGCATTAGGAAAAGCAACTATGAACAAAGTTGACCAGTGAAACTGGGCATACTCCTGCTCCTGTCCTGGTTTTACACAGCAACCATGTTTACACTGGCTAGCAGAAAGGGAGAATTCACTTCATGGTTCTGCATGAAGTGCCCCTGAATAACTTTTCTCCGTTAACACTGGACACAAGCCAAAGCCAGAGCTCTGAATCCCAGTTCATTCAAACCCCAAGGGGCTCAGGACAGAGTCATTCAACACAAGCTGAACCCAACAGATTCAGCCTGGCTCCTGTGCCAAACTAAGAGAAGTTTATTTTCCAATTCCACTGCAGGACAGCGCAGCTGATACAGAATTGTAGCGGGCACTTTCACCTACTTTCTGGATGGAGGTTTCTACCCTGCAGCTTGGAGAGCAGCACCACTAACCCCAGTCAGTGCTTTCAGAGCAGACCAGGATCTGGAAATGGGAGGGTCTTCTCATGTATAGGAAGAAATCTTTCCTAACACTGTGCCCGTTTTGAATGGAAACATCCGATGTTGTCATTTTGGCACATCCCAGAAGTATCACATTTAGTTAGCATTTATTCCAGCTTTGTCTGCCCTGTACATGATAGTCCAGGCAACAGTGACAAACCCACTGACAGCTCATCTTTGTTTGCCAGCAACACATGACATTTGTTAAGTGTCTTATTCTCTGAAACCATACTTTTAGTCAAAGGCTCCTGTGCACCCCTCAGTAAAGCTGTTGACTGCTTCCTATGTGTTTAGTGGGATCACTACAGAGGACCCTCCAGATCTGCTCTCCTTCCTCTGGATTTAGTACTTGAGAAGACCCCAGGGAAGAGAGAAGGGTCTGGGCTCTTCAGAGCATATGTCAGTAGGTCTCTGGAACTTTGAGCCTTCTCCTTCCCATCAGATCCCATTTCAAATCAGATAATTCGCAGCCATTCATCACTACACGCTTAATCTGTCCAGGATTAACAATTCTTCTCTATACCACAGTACTGCTTTAAATACAAATTTATTTAGACTTTTAAAATGTGCCAAATACAAATAATGTGGTAAGTACAGTAACAGCAAGAACAGAGAAAATAAAACCAAAATCAGTCTTCAGCGGTGCACAGATCTTTGATAGAGAAGAGGCAGATTGGGATTATGTCTAAAGATCTGGATACTACCCCAGGGTAACCTGGCAGGAGGATGAAAACCCATGCAGTCAGTGGAATTGTACATGTTCACCTCCCAAGTTTGACATGCATGGAGAGTTCTGAGGACAGCAAAAAGTCTCCAATAGCATAACAGATGGTTCTTGACTTCTTTGCATATCCAGGTGGGAAAATAAAGCATGTCTATATGGACATGTCTGCTCAGGACACTGCCAGAAGCTTTTTTGGAGCATGTACACTTCCTTTAAAAAGCAGGATTACTCCAGCAAGACACCTGGTATTCATCCCTGACTGAAAGATAAGGTTTCTATAGCCAATGATGGTAACCTTCGTCTGAAGAAAAACCTCAAATTGTTCCTAAAAGGTGCTCAAATCACCTTCAGTACAGTTCTTCTTTAACCCTGCCATGAAACAAGCAGCTAGAGCATCATCAGAGGTGAAGAACCCCGGAGCCAGGTTGATTTCACATGTTCTCAGTGGAATCACACCCCATTCTTCAAATGAGAACAGGATCAGCTCACTCTACAGACACTGGCTACGCAATAACACATCAGAATGTGCAGCTTTTTCTTGATGAATGTAGGGCCTGCTCCTGACTTCAGTTCTGTTGGTCAGACACAAAAGAGCTTCTTCACTGGCCTTAAGGCATCAGTGTTAGTCAGAACTTACATCAGAAGAGATTCACCCTCTGAGACACCACGACCTAAAACCATTTCAGGCAGCATGAGTGACTGAGAATTGGAAGGACAATTCTTCTCATCAGTGATTTCATCCAGCTAAAAAGGAAAGACAAATTTAGCTCTTCAGATTAAATTATCTGTTTTAAATCAGGTGAATCATCTTTCCTCCAGGAAACATGTAGACTATTGCCTGTGTAACTAAATCTGTATAAAGACATGTTTATTGTCATTGCTGAGCAACTGTGATACTTTGGAAAGGGACAGACTGCAGGTAAAAGGGGTTTTGCAACTGCTTTGTTCTAACTTCTTCATGTACACCTAGAAACTCCACTTTTTAGCATCATTAGGAGTTGTAGTCTGAAGTACTCTATGTCAATGCCAGTTGCTTTGTTACACATCATCCTGACTTGTATAAAAGACTGCATATCTGATAGCACATGTTCTCTGATCAGGATGTAAGTTAGGGTGGGAAGTAGCTGAGGTCTGGCTGCACTACAGATGAGGATCCTGGAAAAATCCACATCAAGTGATTAGAGCTTTTGAAGGAAGTCTTGGATCAACATTTTCAAGTCAGTCTACTTGGATGCAGATGTTTAATTACATCTCTTATTTTAACCTCTGTTCTTCTGGACTGCTTTGGAAGCGTCATCCCTGGTCACTGCTTCCAAGGCTTTGCTTTGCTGTGAGCTGACACACCAAAACCTTCTGGAATGACAAATTACTATTTCAGGGGTCTGACAAATGTGTGGAGGCTCTCAAAATGAGAGCCCATAACGCCAATGGCTCAGTCTTGACCCTATAGAACAACAGGCTTTGAATCTAAATCTTCAAAATAGATACCATATCAGACTATGGAGTTAAGTCTCTCCCACATAACACTATGAGCTAATAAGCAACGGGGACTTGGCTGACTTTCACCACATAACATTTGTTTCCTTTGGAGATTTATTTTTACAAGGACCACACACATGAAAGCCTTTTAAATACCAATGCTAGTGAGCCAAAGTCAGCTCAGCCATGGGGAGAGAAGGGTGGACAAATACTTCCATAGCATAGTTTCCCCACTCTAAGCCTTGTAACCACCTGCAGAGGCAGTTCAGACCTTGAAGTCAGAGGGTTAGATCCTTCTACAACCTGAATCACTGGAAACCCCAGGGAGCAGTGGGGACAAAGATGTCAGTCTAGGGAAGGAGGAGAGGGAGGAGGCAGAAGCTGAGCTCCAAGGCCACCTCCAGCAGCTGGCCCACATGGGGCCCTCACCTGTGTTCCAACAGCACTGGTACCTCTGGGATCAGATCTGCCACCCCTCCAGACCCCAGAGGCTGTGATGAGTCAGTGCGTTTGTGCTGCAGTCCCACACCCTGGGCACACACCCTCAATCTCAGCAGATAACTTTAGCTTCAGATAAGCTGCTGCTGAGATCTGGGAGAAAGAGACCTTTCCATCCTCTGAGGGGCCAGCAGAAAGCAAGCTGCAAGTGAAAAGGCAACTTCCTGTGCTGATAAACTTGAGGAACACACTCAAGACATTCCCAACACACCCAGACACAAAGAAAGTATTAAAATGCATAAGTCACCCAAAAGAAAATACCTCTTGCACTGGATTTCTTCTGGCTCCCTCCTACAAGTAAATCACCAAAATGAATAAATCTTTCCCAGCTGAAAGCAAATTCCCTGATAGCAGAAAATGAGGCATTCCCAGCCCATGATTTCTCGGGTAAATCCTGCCAGACCCAGTGAGCTCCACAAGCCACATACTGGTGGCAGTTCAGTGGCAGCAATTTGCAAGGCTTGCAGAAAGCCATGGAAACATCTGCCACATGCATTGTCTGTGCCCTGGGGAACATGTGGAACCTCACAGAGGTTGTCAGTACATTTTTGCTGACCAAATGATATGATGTATGGTCTGCAAGTCCCAGCAAAGGTCATGGCAAATGGAACCACACGAAATCCAGATGTCTCCTTTCTCTGAGGCTGTCCATGGGCTGCATCATAGTAGTTAGGAGACTTATGATCAAGAATTTAACCACCTTGATATTTTCATTTTATACAGTAATTCTAACTGACTTACCATGATTGCCAGCCTCTCAAAGTGCCTGCTGAATCTATCATTGGTTTGAAGGGCTTTTCTGATGGAATATTAAGTGATGGAAAGGAAAATCCCATCAAAGCCATCAAAGGGGATCATGTCACATTCAAGTTGGAAATGCAAGATATTTCCTTTCAAATACAGATCCTCTCTGTCACTCTGAAGGCAGTGACAGTGAAGGCAGGTGACACTGGGGGAGCATGTATAAAAGATACCCAAACAGCCCATCTTAGAAATGACAACAACAGACCATTCCAGAATTTGTTTTCCATAAGAGATTTCCACTCAGTATACTCAGCCCATGCCATCGCAGACCAAGCCCAAAAGCCTGCAAGATGAGCCATATAAGCGTCCTAAGCAAATACCTTCTCATTATCAAATAGTGAATGTATGTGACCTATAGAACTAGCATTTTAAATAGAAGACAAATGTTGCCTCCAGTGGCCTTAGGAGGCATTAAGAGATTTCAAGCTCTGATACTCAGCATAACATAGGACAAAGACTAGAGACCACAAGGGGGCAAATTAAACCAACCTGCAGTTCTTATAGCCCATCTCAGCCTCATTTTAAACTTCAATGTTGCAAGCATTTGGCAGGTCCCTGCACCCAACACATCGCTCATGGCTAGTCTAGGTTCAGGTTCACACCACCTTTGGAGCACAGACCCCTCACTGGTAGAAAGCTCACGCTCTGGCCCAGCCTGTGTCTGTGCCAGCACATCTGGCCTGTGGCAGAGAGCACGGGTGCTGGAAGGCTCCCAGGGTGGCTGTAAGGCTCTAAGGAAACCTGTCTCTTGGCAGGAGATG